TGATTTGCTGATTGTGGCATCTTCTCCATCACAAATAGAATGATAAACGCTAGAAGAAATAAATCATAAGTGTGTGTGTGCAGCCATGATTTTACAAAAGAACAATTATTCAACCTACGTAAATCCAAATTTTTTCAACTGCATTACACCTTCCCAAAATTGTGGGTGCGGTACGGAAGATGGACAATTGTAGGGTAGAGAAATGCGCTAAAGGGAATCTAAATCCACCGTCACCCAAGAATATAAATCACAGGAGATGAGTAGCAATCTCTGTCATATATGTACCTATGGAGTTATCAATGAAATATTCAGTTTTTTCTCTCATGCACGCTCAGAAGAAAAGCTTCTTTACTTATTTTAGCTCAACCTCGTACCCAGGGTCTTTTCTCTGTGCTCACTCTCTGTGCTCACTCTGGGGGGAGCACCTGCTGAGAAAAGACCCTGGTATTGTCTGGTCACGTGTCTCCCAGAATCTGGGAGGTGACAAAAATTTTTTGCTAGGGACCAGTGGCTTAGTAAGATATAATGACTTTATTCATCTTGCCAAGTCATGAATGACTTTATTGTCTTCGACGCGCACAACACATATCGGCCTCGCACATTTTTATCTCAAATTTCACAAGCCATATACAAAAGCACATGTTTTGGATCAAAGGTCATTGAGTAGGATGGCTTCGAAGGAAACACCCAAGAAGGTTTATAAGGAGAAAAATTCGTCGATCGATCCGTTGGCTTGCAGACTTTGTCGATCAGTCGGTGACGCAAATCATCGCAAAAATCTATTTAAACGTCCGGAATTGTTGAAGACTGCAGAAGCATTGTGCGGCTATCCTTTCTTACGAGATTCAATTTTGCCCCATCTGTTATGTCGCCCATGTGAGCGAAGACTGAAAAACGTAACAGAATTTCAAAATGTTATAAAGAAGACACAAGATGGATATCGCCAGCAAAGTAGAGTAAAACAATGCATAGAAGTATCTCCGTCGGCATCCCAACCACCAACATCTCGATTGTTCAGACCTGTGCATTCGGCTAGATCTTCGCTGAATTTTGATCAACCATCATCGAATACAAGTTGCGACGAAGAGGTATAAAGCGTAGATATATTTGCATAATTTGCCAAATGCCAAACTGACATCTATACTTTTTGTATGTTAAAGCGTTGATAAATAATTCATGTTTTCTAACTGAAGTGTTACAGCTTTTATATTTTATGTTTACTGATGCGCTTTATTAATTGTTTTACAGAATGAAAATCCCTTGTGTGCAAGAAATGGATTTGACAATGTCTTAAAAGAGGCAAACAAAGAGTTGATGAATATTTCCCGTAAAGATATACCATCCGTGTTAAGAAATACAGCCTACGCAGGATTGAGCGACCCTAACTGGATGACCGAGGTTGTAAATGAAATGTCGACGCGATGCCCTATTGTCGCAAGAATACTGTCAAGTTTGTTTGATTGTTCTTGTTTGGACGCAGGAAATAAATTGCCACCAATTTGTATTGTTTATGGGATAATCATGTTCACGAGGTGTCGGGACTTGAGCAGAATTCAGCGAATCAATACCATTCTTCTGACAGAAGGAAATGCTACTAAAAATGTATGTTCCTTACTTCTTTTGCCATTAAATTTAAGTTTATATATATATATATATATATATATATATATATATATATATATTATATATATATAATATATAATATATATTATATATATTATAATATATAAATATATATAATATAATATTATAATATATATATATAATTATATATAATATAATATATATATATATATATATATATATATATATATATATATATACATAATATATATATATATATATATATATATATATATATATATATATATATATATATATATATATGTGTGTGTGTGTGTGTGTGTGTGTGTGTGTGTTTGTGTATAAATAATTGTATTTATCTTAATTTAGTTGATTGATCAGCTCAACAAATATGGTTCCTGTCTGAGTTTCTCAACCAAGTTTGCTATTCTTGACGACATTGGACAACATTTTTTGGATCGGGCTGTCGAGTTGGTGAAATCTGGGATGAAATTTGTCTATGTGGTAGATAACATAGACTGGGAAGAAAAAGTACATGACATGAGATCAGACCATCAAAACAAGAGTGTGCATGCAGTTGCAACCAGCATGGTTTTTAACAGAGTATCAAGTGATCACCTACCTGACAATGGTCCACAGAAAGACATTGCAAAATGCAATTTTAGGGAACTTGTTGCTCTGTCTAGTGCAGAAATTGCAACGATTCGAAATCGATACAAAGTGTTTATTGCACAAGTTCTGGCTCAGAAGTTTACAGAACTATTTAGTTTGAAGCAATACATTCCACAGGAACTCCTACTTCATGAATATGTGGGAAATACAGCACTGAAGTCTGAGATTATGACATTGCCAGTTCTCATGAAGGACGAAAAAAAGTACAGTGACTGTGTGGATGTTCTTGATCAATTGGAACAGTGGACAGAGGATGTATACAGTGCAAGTGGCATCTTTGACTTTTCACAACCTTCCTCAACTGTTTCCCATGAAATAATCCAGGTACCTACATGCCCAGATCAACCTAGAGCACATATTCCACCAATTACTTCTGAGTCTGACCCTTTAAAAGATGTCAAAATTCCATGTTTTGGAGATGAGTTGACCAGAGTAATGATTGCTGGTGCACGGGATCTTTGTTCAGGATGCCATACTCCTAAACAGCGATTGGATCATTTGTACCCGTATAGAATTGTTGGATGGCACACTAAAAGAAGCTTCCTTAAGGTAAATTTTATACTTTATGGATTGTAATGCATGTAATGAGGAGCATGTGGCCCAGGGGCGCTCCCCCAAATTCTGTTTCTTAATTAACCTTGCAGCTTTGACAATTAACCACACATAAAATCTAGTGCCTCTGGAAGCTTGTGCTTCCCCCCTATTTCCATGCATGTAATTTAATGTCCAATTTATTACTTGTAGGTCAATTTATTATGTACAAGTTTCCTTGTAGGTACATCACATAATTTTTATAATATTTTTTAATTTATGTGGTGTAACTACAAGTAAATTTATTTATATTGTGAATCACCATGCAGAACTACAAGAATATTACTGATAAATTAATTTATTTTAATGCTATTGCAAGAGTGCAACTTTAAGTATCCCACTGTAAATTAAGATTGCAATCCAAATTTATTGCATGCATGGTCATTTATACTGAAAAACACACATGATTGGTTTAAATCATATTAGCCAAGCAAGTGTCATACATACTAATTTATTAATTCATGCAATTTTGGGAATCAAATAGTCATTCAGTGTAATTAATAGTTAGTGGAATAAATATTTTTGTAATATTTATAGTCCATCTTCAAGAGACTTTACAAGAACTCGGGAAGAGAAAATGGCACATTGCGATACTTCCGTGAAGTCCTGAACAGACGTAATGTAACTGTCGATGTTAAACATTATGAAGCCTGCGAGCAGCTATTCATGAGTGTTGGCAGTTGCTTTCTTGTTGAATCCTTGCTTGAGTTCTTTGGTATGGAAAGTGAGAGTGATTCCCCAAAAGAAAACAATCCTCTTCTTCCAGATAGTGAAAGTGAAGAACAAAAGAAAAACCATCTCATGACTGTTTTAGACAAGTTTCTAGATGAGTTCCTTTTCCATGGCTGCAGTAATGACGAATCTTTAGATGACAGCAATTCAGATGATGACACACCAGATTGTATCTTCAATTATTCTGTCAACCTTCTCCATTCATTTATGGTTCTTTTCGATTGCAAGGAAGCAGTGGCATCCGGGAATGGAGAGCATTTGGCATTAATCCAGAAGCAGTTGTTGCATTACTTTTCATCTGTTTCTGGGTTTAATGTATATGCCATTGAAATGCTAATTACCACTATCCAAAATGAAGTTTTGCTTTCACCTGCTGAGGCACATCAATGCAAATGGGCTGCCTTAGCCAACTGGAAAGGAGGTAGCAACAGGAATATTGAAATTGATCTGTTGCAAGAAAACAGGAACAGAGACCTTAAAGGGCTAATTCGCCTAATGGGGGCAAACAAAACAGAGAAGGCTATTCAGAGGATCAGCAAGGCAGCTGGAGGGGTTCGTAAGATTGTCAGTGCATTTGAAAGTCAAGCCTCTATTAAACCAAAGTCAACTTCTCATTCACACAAGGCTTCGTTGGAAGATGAAAAGAAGATTCTTTCTGATTTGCGCAAACTAAAGCCATTTGCTCAAGTTCCTGGAAGATCACATGATTCGTTTGCTGGAATTTCATCAGACCCACTAAATGATTTGGATGAAGACAAGTTAACAGAATGGCTGGCAAGACATCAAAATAACATTGCAAAGCATTTTCCTGCAACAAGCCACTATGATATAGATTCTGACAATGAACAAACAGGTGATTGAAACTAATTGAAACTAAACAAATGCTGGTTGTTTAAATTACAATCTTATTTTATACATGGAGAGGGAAACAATTTCACTATAACATATAAACACAACTCAATTATGTACAAAGAATATATGATACACCTTTGTGCTCAGGTCTTGTAAAAACACAAACAATTGATTGCACAAGCACCTTTCTTCAGGTGCTTGTGCAATCAATTGTTTGTGCTTTTTAATTATGTATATACAATCCTTAGTATGAAGATGAGGTGTTAAAGATTAATTAGAGGATACCTGGCATCTACTATAGTTATATTTTAGAGCAAATGATCTGATGGCATGATTATATTGAGTGATCAGACATTTATGTCAAATGTGATTAAATAAACAATTGGTTGGTTAACACAAATTATCCTAACATTTATAAACTAAAATGTTTTGGGTGAATTATTATAATAATCTTTTCAAAACAAATTTCTTATTATCAGAGTTGTCAGGTATTCTTCATTTACAGTAACTGTTTCTTAAACAAAATAGTTGATTATCAAACCTGTATCATAATGTCATTTATATCAGTTCTAATCAGTGCAGCTAGCACAATTGCATTGTTCACAACAAACACTGCAACAAAGATGTTTGGGAAAAATTGGTGTGATATATTTCTCTTCTGTGTCAAGTGATGTTAGTAATATATTTCTAAGACATTTGTCCGTGCTTTGGCAAAAAGCTCGAATACCCTCCTGCATCGCATGTTTGTTCTTTGCAATATCCCGATTGTTGTAGTAAAGCATTGCTGTTGCAGGTTCTCCATCTCTACCTGCTCTGCCAGTTTCTTGGAAGTATGCTTGTATTGTGTATGGTGGGGTGATATGCACTATATTTCTGATGCTTCTAATATGAACACCCATCCCCAATGCTACTGTAGCAAAAACAACCCTGATTACACTTCCTGATGGGCATGTCAACTGCTTCAGGATTTCATCTTTCATCTCCTTAGTTTGCGGTGAATGAAACTGCACGAACAATCTATTCTCGGGAATTGGCATGGATCCTTTTGGGTGATATTGATTGCATCCCAAAACAAAATCGAACAGTTTATAAGCAAAACCACACCACTTTAATGGAATATAAATAAGGGTCAAAGGATAACATAACTGTTGACTTAGCAAAGCTTCAGCTATAGGAGTGAGGATAGCTGTGAGGGAGTCTATATCTGACCCAACTCTGAATTGTTTCTTATACATGATGTTAGTGCGATCTGGATTCCCAATGATTTCCACACACGATTTCAAGCCCAGTGATTTTTTTATGGATTCTCGATCATCCTTGCTTGCTGTGGCAGTCATAGCTATCACTGGTACATTTGAAAATGTTGCACATAATGCACCAAGATTCCCATATTCAACTCTGAAATCTTTGCCCCTAAATAAGAAACATATAAGCAAATTATATTGCCAAACCAAAAATGATTGCCCTGGGTCCCTGGCTTTCCAGTTAAAAAATGTAAGTAATATTTATGTGTAAAGACGTCTTGAGGCTTGTAAATTTTAAAAACATGACATGTGTAATCAACATTGTAATAGAACTCTTACCATTCTAAAATGCAGTGGGCTTCATCAACAACGATGGCACAAACGTTTTGTTGATAAACATTGCTTCGCATTAACTTTCTGCCATACGAATTGGTGACAAGGGACTCAGGATGCGCAAACAAAATGTTATAGTATCCGTCTTTGAGTTTCGCTTTGTCGCTTAGACGAAAGTTGCACACACATTCAGATGTCCTTTCATCATCATCCTCATCTGCTTCCTCATTTTCGTCCGTTGACAAGTTTAATACGTCGATGGCTGATGCACGAATTATACCAGAATTTAATCGCGATATCTGGTCTGCCATTAGAGCGTTTAAAGGCGATACAACGAGAACGATAGTGTCAATATGTTCGGTGCATTTAGCAACGCCGTTCTTTGCCGCAAACAACGGTCCTACTAAAAACCGCCCGAGACCGCCCGAGAGTATAGAAAAACCGCCCGAGAGTATAGTAAACCGCCCGAGACTTCGACGGTCCTGTCAAAATATTTATTATTACTATTTCACTTCACTTGTTTAAAGAAATTCAAAATATGTGAAAGTTTGGCAATTTCTAAATCCCTAATGTTATGAGCAGAACCAATGCGCAGAAGCCGGCTGAATAAAAAATGTGATGATGATGTCATAACTTTAGTTACGATTATTGTCTCCTTGATCTCAATGTATTCTATGACTATGATTAAACTGGTATGATTAAACTGGTATCCTGACATCTGGTATCCTGATTAAGACACTGTTTTAAATGCAGGCCGGGCAAAGTAAAACATAAGGATCATGTTGAGTAAAACAACAGAGCCAGGAGAATTTCCATGCACAATTACAATTCAGCCTGCTAATCTGTGCTAGTTAGTGTCAAATGTTCTTGTCTAAGCATACGGGTTCTTAGAACGTTTCATATTTACTGATATTTAATTTAAAAACACAAAATAACTTCAGATTTCTGTCAGCCGCTTTTTTAAAGTCTTGGGCGGTTTTTCTATACTCTCGGGCGGTCTCGGGCGGTTTTTCTATACTCTCGGGCGGTTTTTAGTAGGACCCGCAAACAACAGTGCAGGAAGCAAGTAAAAAACCAATGATTTACCATATCCAGTTGGTAAAACAGCGAGAATATCTAACTTCAGAAATATCTTTTCTAAACCAATCACCTGTTTTGGCTTTAAAATTATATTGTTATACAAGCTATTTTGTATTGCAAATTCCAAACACGAAAGGAAAAGCCCGCACTCCGAGTTTTTCAACATGGCGACAACGCACATGTGAAATCAACCCCCCATGGCGATCCCCACTAGGGAGCAAAATTTAATGAGAGACACGTGACCAGACAATACCAGGGTCTTTTCTCAGCGGGTGCTCCCCCTCAGAGTGAGCACAGAGAGTGAGCACAGAGAAAAGACCCTGGGTAAGAGGTTGATTTTAGCTTACCGGTCGCAATCTTCTTCATGTCGTTGTGGAACTTTCCTAGTGAAACCATTCCCGTTAATCGATGGCGCCCGCCCCTTACCGTCATTTACAGATCTTCCTGCAGAAAGAAATAATCTCACAACTTATCTGCATGTATTCAAGCTAGGGTATATAAAAAGCACTAGGGCTTACATTTCATCATACCTGTAGCTTCATTTCATCCAACACCAAAGCCCCCAGTACTCGTGTTCCTTCAACTCATGCCGTTTGGCCTCTCTTTTACACCATTTAATAATTTCTCTATTATTTCAACCACATGAATCGCACTCTCAATCGAGAAAATTGAAACCGTCACATCATCGGACCGCTCTGACACTTTCAGTGGTACATGGTGTCCTTAGGTTGACAGGGAAATAACTGGTGGGGCCAGTGAGAGGCAGATTGCCAAACTTATTCGGTGCCTGTCGACTTTCACATCATCCATATTGGCCGACTTTCTCAACCACAACATATGTTTCCTTTATGACGTCTGTCTTGATGGGTGACCCAACCAGTGTTTTTGTCGCAGACCGACTGGATTTTCTTTCCTACCTCATCCTCAAATTCAGTTATTAAGAAGTCGCTACCAATTGTGCAGCGCTTTTTTAGATGTTTGTATTGGGCATAATTGACTCTGTTAGAACGTAATTTTTCTATTTTTCCCTTCCAAGCATCGTTTATGATCCTTCCCAACCTTGGTGGAGATATGCTAAAATTGGCAATTAGTGCATCTTCGTATATTGATTTAACTGGTAGAATGGAATCTTTGCAGTACTCGTAGTTACCAATGACCCTAAAAAATAATATAATCCATAATTAGAACACTCCATAAAATGAAAGTTAAAAAATGTGCTATAGTTAATTTATTAAACTCTTTAGAAATTCTTATCAACCCCCCTTCACCAAAATTTGATTGGGTGGTTTGAGTCACATGATTAAATTGTGCAAATGCAAGTATGCAACTGGCATCTTGACAAAGTGAAGTCTTTTTTTGCATTTCTACGTGGTAATTCAAACTGCACTGAGCGAAAGTGGACATCATAATGGAAAAATATTTCTACGCGTCTTTTTTGAGTTGCAATGCCACATTTTATATATAAAAAACCCACCCTGACGTCCACAAAGCAAGCTTCATTTCAATTGTTTTGTATCGCTTGAGTAAAGTTTGATTTACATATTTGAAAAGAAAGGAAATTTCCCTGTCAGAAATGATGCTGTCCGAAAAAAGAATATTAACATTGATGTTATATTTATAAATAAATATTTCCGCAACACGTCCACTTAATTCTGATTGATGGATTGAAATTGTTTGAGGGCGCTTAGAAAGGTCATTTCTGCAGGCCCTTTTTCACACATTATTTTTATATATAAATATTTCCCCAATACTAGTAATAGCTTCTTAAAAATTAACAAACCGTTTGGAACGGTAATTGTGGACTTATATCTGACAAGTACTTGATATATTTTTAGAAATTATTTAGAAATATATTTACTGTTGTAAGGGTTTTCCTTAGTCTTTTATTTAGTACATGCTTTACATACTACATGCTTAGTCAGCTTGTTCAGCTAAAGACCCTAAATCCCTTGTGACTTTACTAGGTGTATTATCAATACACTACATCCCTCCCGAAATTAGAAAATGCAAAGAGACATAGTTCAAAGCTCAGGACTTAAACGCTCCCGATGCTGAAGTAGGCCAAAAGTTTAAAATTAGTATGAGTTCAACTCTAACAAAACGCTATAAATAAATGTCTTAGAAGTTATATGTATAGTTTTTATCAAGTTCAATGACTGTTTGAATTGTCCTCCGTTTCACCACTGCAGCTGTGTGCCAAATCTGAGAGGATGCCTTCGCGCTCGTCTGGGGTAGCAATGTACCTCAGGAGCTTCAAACTCAAGTTGACACACTGGATCAGCGAAATCCTCGCCTTCACTTGACTCTTCATCGTGATATTTGGTCGGTGCTTTCTTAAAGTACGATGAGTTGCAGGTAACTGTTTCGTTTCTATTGCTTGCTATTACCATCGAACCTTTCTTTGAAATAATGACGTATGGCTTGTAGCCTTGTTTGAGATCCAGTTTGCTAAATATTTTGGCTCTGTTCAAGTCACAGATTATCTCCTTGATGGTGGGTGACACATGATGTTCCCGCTTAATGGCTTGATTTGCCTGGCACATATCTACACAAACGCCGACTTGTCCAGGGGACTTTGGTGCTACCATGATAGGCGATACCCACGGTTTAGGGCCTTCGATTTGTTTAACAACTCAAAGTCATCATGTTTGAGCTGTTCCTCCAGCTGCTGGGGTATGTGAAACAGTACTCTTTGATGAGGCTGGGTAACTGGCTGGACATTTTCGTTGATGTGAAGGTTTTTTTTGTACTCTTTCATCTTTCCTAGACCATTGAATAGCTTGTCATGCTTTCTGACTAATTTCTCGATTCTTGAGGAAGTACTGCCGTTGACATTTCAAAAGGCAGAGTTCCAGAGATGTTCTCCAGCTAAGCAATGAATCACTCGATCCTTTGACTACATAGATTTTGGCATTGATGCATGTTGACTTGAACTTCAAATCAGTGATAAACTTTCCTAGGACTGTAAGAGACATACTTGACTTGTAAGGATATACTTTTACTGTTGTTTTCTGAAGCTCAGGGGGGTTTGATAACACTTGATAATCCTTCTCATCCAACACATTTACACTTGCACCAGAATCAGCCACGATTGTCATTGGAGTGTCCTGAATGCTAACTTTGAACATGCGTTGCGATTGTTCTTTACCAGAGCCAATGACAGAAAATGCATAACCAATATCATCCGATTCTTCTGAACTGGCTTTTTCAACTATGGGTTGAATACCACGTTTCTAATGCCTATGTTCTTTTTGCTTATTATACTTTTTGGATCTACATACAGCTCCAAAGTGATTCTGCTTCCCACAATGACGACAAGATTTTCCATAAGCAGGACAGGAAGTTTTGCCTCCCGGATGCGGATATCCTTGCCACACTTCCGACATTTGCGACTCTCGTCGGGTGCTTTATTCCGGTCACGTGAATTCTCACCATTTGACTTCCGGTCAACATATTTCGATTTCAAGTGTTCTGTAGCATGTTTCTTCACCAATTTATTGATACCTGGCTTGCCTTCGATGTTGTTTGCTTGAGACTTTGACATTTCCATGGCTTTACCGATGTCCAGTAACTGTATTAAGGTCATCTCATGGTTTTGTATTGCTCTCATGCAAAGTTTGTGCGACAAACAACTCAATTTGTACAATTTGTGTTTTGATCTCTCTGTCCATGTCAAATTCACAAGTAATAGCTAGAGCCATCGCAATTGAGTGTGAAACGCTAGTATATTCTCTTCGCTTTCTTGCTTGGCTTTACGAAATACATATACCTCGTATTCTCGATTCTTCTTGGGGGTAAAAATCGTTTGTAAGCGCTGTAACAGCCTTTTTGAACGGATTGTCGTCTTTTCCAGCATTTGCGTTGGGCAGTGTTTCAGATATTTCATTCACGCTTTCTCCAGCATAGTGCAACAAAAGAGCTCTTTGTCTTTTGTGGTTGTCTACAGCTAATGCTAGCAGAAGATTTCTGAAAAAAGTGAGCCATGTCTTCCAGCGAGTATCTACTGCTTCTTCTGAGTGAACATCAAATTCAGTGAAATGAGGTAAAGCCACTGCCATATTTTCCGTTTTTCTCTCAATATGTTTGACTTGTTATTGTAGATATATAAAAGTAGATATTGACTTTTATAATGCTAGATAATCAAGCAGTAATCAGAGCTTGGAATAATCAAAGGTGGTAAAGGTCAACAACTGAATAGAGGCACTAAAACAACTATTTTTTGTAACAAAGCAACTTAACCTGATGTTACGCTTGTCTTATGTGCCAACTTATCAAAACCCCGCTGATATACC